TTTCACATCCAACACGATTCCATTCGCCCACATCTTCAAGTGTTTAATCATACTCTTACTCTTTTTCGATCTGATGCATATATGTCTTGCGACCCCACCAGTGATGCTTACCTACCTAGGTAGATAGACATGTGCTCCGGGCGAAGTGATGACACGCACTTCACCATGATACCTCATCTCTTCTTCCACACTGGTTTGCTTCGCAGGTCTGCTCATCGCCACCTCGAGCAGAGTATGTATTCAAGAGTCTGTGCTCTCTGATCGGCATTTTCGATGCTACAGTTGCTTGTCAAGTACCTAGGTATCTTTAGCTTTCCTGCACCACACTTATCACAGGTCTCGGTCGACATAATGCGACCGCTTTTGATTTATAGCTATCAAGCCTAGTGGGAAGCATGTGCAATATCGCTTTAGCCAGACAGATCTTAACACACGTTACAATTCATCCATCTTATTGACACCAAGTTCGACTCGAACGTCTGGACCCACGGCACGGTCCGCTTGCTGACGCAGGATCACGATCATGGATATCTACAACAGCCCAACAAGAATGTGTTTCGATACATGAGTGGGCGAAGGTCGCATCTCAGTCGTTTGTTGGGACACAGAAGTTACGACAGTGGTCAGAACCGATGTCGGCTAATATGAAGCTGACAACACGTGCGAGGCTCACCACTCGACAGAGCCCTGGGTGCTCGATGTTTTGGAACCAACACATATACATGCTGGGTTGAATTCTTGGACAACATCACAACGCGTTCGTTGAGCGGCACCTGTCAAATCAGCTCTTTCCAGGACAGGAATAGATAACATGGGTCCGCAAAGTGCATGGTGGCGGAGCACAACAACAACTTCATCCAAGCCTCAATCAGGAGTACAGCAATCGGACAATCTTTTGCGTCCAGAAGCCTTATGTGAGGCTCGAGACTTACGCAACCTTACGCAGCAGCGATACACCCTGTCTGATTGACTTGATTTGAATCGACCAAGTGTGGCATCACATGATATGACCACTAACATGCGACACTTTTCGATACCAGCTTTAAGTCAGCCTCTACCCGTTTATGTTTCGGCTCGACTTACGAAAGGTATCGTAACACGACAGCGCAAAAGGAACACCAAACAACAGGCAACACGCACGCGATCAGAACACGCCAGGCAGTCTCAGTCACCTGCAGAAGTCGACCCGATCATGCATAGAGAGGACTTGAATTTCATTGCATTCATGTTCACGATTGAACAACTTAAGTGCGAAACGTTAGTAAACTGAGAGCGTTCCACTCTTGCCTGGATTTTCGTTAATGAGTGCAGATTGGACATGTTGGAATGTCACGACAATGTTCCAGAGACCCGAACCGAGACGCCGAACCCCAGAGCCTGAATCATAATACTTGCTGTATGTTTGTATAATCTCGGTTACATGGAGGATGGTGCCTGAAGGGTGAAAGAAAGCTTATTCAACTTCCCAAGTGCTTCGGTAATTGCTAAAGCATTGGTATCAGCACTTATGTGGCCAGACGTGAGGATGCTACTGAAGTTACTCATGTTACTGATTTTGTGGGATTCGGAGATTGACAGTAGATACACTGTGGTTTTTATAGCAAAGCCCTATAGCTATGCGGCTTGTAAGAGTGGTAGAGGGTCATATGGTCGCTGCAAATAAAAAGAAGATTTGGTACAGTTGCTTTACCATATGTCGCACGATTGCTCGGGCTACTAGGGAAACCCGTATAACGAGTTTCTGCCTGGACATCCAAGGCGCTCTGGAAATCCCGGCTGTGCGCCTTGGAATCATCTTCAAAGCGCTTCTCGCTGTCTGGTTCCGATATCTGCCTCTTGGCTAGGATGAATAGGTACTACAATGACATCAACGAAGATCGACTCTTATCTTCATCGCCTAAAGCGCATCCCGAAGAACTTAATACCCCTACTCAACCTCGCAGGACGCCTCTCAGCACCAACTATTCGCTATCTGTACCACTACCGACCATCCCTGAGAGCCCAGACAATTCGACTACTGCTTTAGAAACCAGTCTTGCCTTCAAGATAGCGCCTTTACCAACCTCTGGTATACGCGAGTGGAAGGCGTAGATGAGAGATCGTCCCTCCTTGCCAGTGTTACCGTTTGCAAATCTTGGTTTCCGTAACCCCGACGCCGTCCCTGCTTTCCATCGCTTCGAGTGCATCATACCCGCAAGCCTGTCCTTTGGTGTTCGGTGCCTGTGTGATAACAATGATGTTTCAGGGGTAAATTTCGGTTTGGCTGCGCTCCAGATCTTACTTTCACAGCTTACTGGTACCGACGACTATAGACCTGTCCAGGCAGTATGTGCATGAGCCAGTCAAGAGTTTACTATCCGATTTAAATGTCTCCCGTCAAACACTGCTTCACCAGGTCACCTTCGGTTGGATCGCCAATGCAAACGTAACCACCCGGACTACCGATATGTAATTCGAGCATGCGCAAGACCTGATACTAGTTGTTCGCGAAGACCGCAAACACAACCTAGTCGTATTCATTGGCCTTGCCTACTTCGGTTCTGAAGACGATGAAAATCGTTTCCAGACGTATTCAGACACCAGGTTAAGGTGCTTTCGCACTGGTGACTAAGGGTCTATCAACGAAACTGGGGAGCGTTTTGTGGTCTCTCGACATTTGGACCAGTCGATCGCGCACATCAGCGAATTTCACGTTGAGCTGGTAGATATCTCACGGACTATCGTCGACCAGGGGAGCGGCTCAGTAGCGGAGACAGTTTTGGTTTTCAAGAGTGACAATGAGCAGGACGAGCCACAGATCCAGGTTTTTGTTGTCATGAACGAGGCACCCAGCGTGAAATCGCGCAGATATCTACAAAAGTTACTCCTCGGTCTCAGCCTCCCAGTCTATATGCGTCCGACATGCGCTGTCATTTGAAACAAGCTACCTCGCACGTCTGGAGGCAAAATTGACCATCGAACGTTGATGACAGTTTCCATACCAGATACCGAAATTATCCAGGTCATGCGACTGGCGAGCCTGCCGATAAGTGACTCATGAATAAGGTCCGGGGGATATCTGAGGGTTGCACACTCGTAGATAGACAATAGAACGGATTCTAGAGGCAGCAACACTTTGGCATGATTAGACAAAGAAGTAATGTGATGTCTGTTTCGAAAGACGAGGGGCTAACAAGGCGAAGAACATGCCCCTCACACCCCCTCCAGAGCCCCCATCACCCCTCCATCTCCGCCTCACACACGACCCATTGCGGCTCGCGCCGCATGATGCATGCCACACTGATTGTATCCGTGACTAGAACACAGCCCGCCAGCTCACGACTTTCTCTTTGATTCCGGTGTCTTCTAACCCCAAGGCAGCGTATCAGCCCAACTCTCCCCACATACCCGGCCAATCAGCACCTGCCATCTTTCGCACCGCCGGCGTCACCGTACTTTTGGGCCATGCACATGCAAAACAGCTAGCTAGCGCTGCGCGGGAGCCCAAAACAACGCGTCTTCTTAAATGTTAGGATCCCCAGATCTTTTGTCGTTTGGTAACTTCCTGCCTTTTGTGACTGTGTGACATCCGCCCACTTTGAAGATGGCGGAATTAGTTGTTGCGGGCCCGCCTGCCCCACCTCCGATGACGTTCCGCGATCGGTTGACGCAGTTTAGGATCCTCGAGGAGAAGAGATGTGAGCTTATCGAGGTATGCTACTAGCTGCGTCTTGGAGGTGAGGAGAGGGTTTTGACGATGAAATAGGAACTCCTCGACAAACTCGAGAAGACAGAAGCACGCCTCGCACAATGTGAACTCGACCTTGGCTCCGAACAAAATGTCCGACGGACATTGCAGGCGGAAATAGCAGATGTCACGCGGACGATGCAAGGTCAGCTGGCAGAGTCCAAGGCAAAGGAAGAAGCTCTAGTGCAGTCACAGGCCAAACGGCCGTTCGTGCTGGTGCTTATAGACGCCGATGCGGAGGGGTTCCTGGTATGCACAACAATGCCGCTGCCGACCGTGTATTCCAACTAATGATTCTAGTTCCACGATAAATACATAACACGCAAAGCCCAAGGTGGGGAGTCATTAGCAGATGAACTAAACATACGAATTCGGGAATATCTGCGTGAACAGTTCCCAGATGATGCCGACTCGCTGGACATCATTGTGCGCGTATATGCCAACTTAGAAGGCATGGCGAACTATCTTGTGCGGCTTGACAAGGTCCGAAACCTGGGCCAGCTGCGAGCTTTCTCCACTGGCTTCTGTGGAAGGATAACCAGCTTCGACTGGATAGACACCGGGGTAGGCAAGGAAGGCGGAGCGGGACGAAAAGTTCGAGGTATGTATCCATGGATCCTCGAAGGAAAGAAACGTGAGATCGCTAACAAAACACAGAGAACCTGTCATTCTTCGCATCCAACACCCATCTACGGCACGCGATAGTCGCATGCTCACCCGTCGACTTGCCCGCCTCCCTTCTCACAACCATACCACTAGAGAAGCTAACCCTCATCGAATCCCTACCACTACCTACGTCGCTCACTACGATGCCCCTCAAGACTGCCAAATTCCACACCCTTTTCCCTCCCCCACCACCCTCCAAAGCCCCGAAACCGAGTAGAGAGCGCGGCCGCAACGACCGAGGATTGAGCGAGACCGACGTGAGACGAGGTGATAGGGAGATGCGGAGAGGAGACGAAAGGGGTGGAGGCCCACAACTACAGCTCATGGAACAAGAACACGAAGGCGGAGGCTCGACATGGCTGGTCATACAACCCGAGAGGAGTAAGAGTCAGACTGTGAGCGGCAGAGACCGAGACAGGAGGAGGGCTGGAAGCGAGGATGATACTAGCAGTTTGAGTATCAGTATCGGGCCAGACAATACTGTTCAGGTCGACAGTGGGAGGAGGCGGAGGCTGATGGGATAGTGTCAGTTCGTATGTGGAAAGCGGGATGTTCTTGTGAAAGAAAGCTGTCGCATCACGCACCATTTGTTGAGTTTGATATCATAGCATGGCATAGCATAGCGTAGCGGCATATCGTCAAAATTTTCATATTAGGTCGTCAGAGCGATTGCAAGTACGGTAGCAATATCTACAGCGTTTGTCGGAAGCCCTCTTGTCCCTCCAAGATCCTCTCGCCTCGATCTGCCTGGCGATTCGCTCGTGAGTACACCCAAAAGTTCTTAAGCACGTGGACTATGGTCAGAACTTGAGTCGCAATCACAACAGCCATGGCAGGTCTGCTTCGGTCAGCCTCGTGTTCCGGCATATCTCTGGTGGATGGAACTTACGTGTACTTTGGCGCATCTTGTTGTCGAAAGATATTCGATGCTGCAATACCTCCACAGGCTCCGCCCCCAATCAATAGCGCACTAGCAACGCTTCTCTTCATCTGACCCACGATGTTGTTATGCATATAACTCAACAAGCTGGGCACATTCGCATTCGCTCCACTAACACCTAAGAAGACTCCGGCATATCGTGCACGAGCGTTGCTGAGGAATGCCATCATGCATACTCCCAAGACAGCCCATGCACAGTTGAATATAATGATTGCACCACGCATCCTGTACCGGTCGGCAACCCATGCTGTGGCGAACATCCAAGCCGCAGCCAGCACGTATGGCGGGAAAGACAGGATCTGACTCATAGCGACGGAGTATTTCATGTCGTTGCGTAGAATGATGGGTAAGAAATACCCCCAGCTGTACGCGACGACGTTGTTGAGGAAGTAGAGCCAGGCAAACTCCCAGATCTTCCAATCGCGGAGATGCGTTGAGATGGTTGACCAGGTAAGCTTATCGGCGACAGCATCACCGCGATCGCGTTGAATACGGGCAAGAATTATGTTGGCTTCCGCAGAGGTTAAGAAAGGGCGCTTTGTTATTGGGCTAGGCTGGCTGGCTTTATCGGGAAAGTCGATTATTGTTACGAAACCCATGAAGCCGAGTAGGACAGTGATGGCGCCCTCCTTCAGATGGGTTAGCGGTTGATGGCAGTAGGTAGGAACTTGACTTTACTATAGCGAATATCCATTGCCATCCGTTTAGACCTCCAAGGCCTCTCATCTCGCTTAGTCCCCAAGCAAGGATGTTCGAGAAACCACTTGCAAGAAGGGCTAGCAGATAGAATCCACTGAACCTCTTCTGTACCTCAAATCTCGCGTACCAACAGCTTAGCAGGAAGACACAACCTGGATAATACCCTGCTTCCAGGACGCCGAGGATGATTCTGCAGCCTAGTGCCTGCGTCCAATCATTCGTAAAACCTATGCCAATCGTGACAGCTCCCCAGCAGATGACTAGAGAAGGTAGCCATACGGCGGGACCAAGTTTTCTGATGATGATGTTGGCCCTAAAGATTGTGTACGAAGTCAGTGTTTGTCTCAAATGCAGTTTGTAAGAGACACTACTTACGGGAACTGAAAGATGATGTAAGGGATGAAGAAGATCATTGTGAGGATTGAATAACGTGAGCCGATAGAGAGGCCTAGGTCCTCATCCATGCCTGCTATACGCGCCTGCATTATGGGTCAGTATACGAATTGTGATCGCAACAGGGGTACACTGTACATTTGGAAGATTAACGCGGTCGATGAGTGCAAAGGCATAGATAACAGCGAGTGTTGGCAGGAGTCTGAGATCTATCTTTCGAATAATGCGACGGGTTTCCTTGTCATCCTTTTCGAAAGGCGACGATGCTTGTCCTGATGTATCATTTGGTTGGTCGACATCCTCAATGTTAACGCGGCCATCTTCACCGCGATCGCCTTTCTCATCGAACGAGATCTTTCGCCGTTAGTATTCAGGCTTCATAGGGATTGGGAAAACGCTGACATGCTCGTTTCGCTCAGCTTCAAGGTCCTTCTCTTTAAACGACATTCTACTACGTGGTAGCCCAGTTCATACAGCATTCATCAAGCATATTCTAGGCCTTCTTATTGCTGCATCTTCTCCGTTTTTCCAACGATCGATCCCCGCAAAACGTCTCCCGAATCGCGGGGTGTCATGCGCATCATTACTCAATTCGGCTATGAAGAACCACTCGTTGAGGTGAGAGCTCGCTTCGACTTCAAGTCACGAGACTAGCTTCATGCGCTTTTATCCGCGGAATGGATCTTCAGCAGCGGAGTGGAGGCTTGGCTGTTGAGATATGCATGTCCAAGAAGTTTACGCATGACGTACATTGACTCGATTCTGCCATGTCAGCGTCGGTAAATAGAATGACGCTTGGCGAATGGAAATCTCGTTCGGATCTTTGCTTGGGTCTTCCGCACAATACATTGATATCCAGGTGCAGGCAAGATACAAGATGGTGGCGAACACCATTGCGATGCTGACGCTCCACGGCTGTTCCCAGACGATGTGATAGACGATAAGAGACCATACCTAATTCAGCTTAGCTATGCGCGAAAATCTCGCGCTAAGCTCCACGCCGTGTATACATCTGCCTTGAAGTAGAATCAAGCTGCACATTGCTTCACCGTGTCTGTCGTAGCATTTCTTTGGACCTCAGGTATAAAAACACGTTGTCTGAACGATGCCAAGCTGTGTCATGAGGTTACCCGCTAGGGTTGACAGCAAGTCTCGACTTTAACATTCATTTCCTCCACTTCTTCCAAGCCCCTACAAAACCTGCGTCATCAACACTCTCATCGCGCGCACCTAGTCCACCCGGAAACTCCCCCCTCTCTCCCAAATCAATAAGCGGCACCATGCTAGGCCGTCCATGCGCACACATGAACGGAAACACACAACTCGCCAGATTTCTCACCAAAGCTTTACAATCCTCGATACTAAGCACATCATTAAACATAATAGCGGAGCGACATGCACGAGAATTGATGAGATCGACAAGACCTGGAGGACAGGTGGCTAGACGTCTGACCCAATCGGTGGGATTACTCGGTGATGAGGTGAGTGGTGCCGGTAAAGGAGCGAGATGCGGATCTTCTGCGTACTTCCAGACCGTTGAGCGGAGGAAAGAAATCAGGACCTTGGGATCAGCTTTGCATCGTTCCGATATACCCGTTGGAAGACCAGTGACGGATAAAACGTGCTTTTCCCTATCGACAGTGTCAGGAACAGCTGAAGAGGTCGTCGTTCCAAGGATGTCGTAGAGGATGCCCCATGCTGCGAATCTTGCGGCATGGGTTGCGAAGTGTATTCGTTCCTTGGAAGAGATTGCAAATTGCGTCGGCTTCTCGAGCACGACAGAAGCTACCTGCGCCCTGTTGCCGAGCTTTGTCTGATACCCTTTTTTGTCTTGTAGTGGATTGCAAAGCTGGCTTAGGAGTGACTCAACCTGTACGCGTTCGTCTGCTGCGTGCTGGTCAATTAGCACGAGAAGCCCTGAGCGCGCATCTTGCACTTGTGTCGAATCTTTCATCTTGACAAGAATGAACTTCTTGTCGACCTGCGCGATGACCTGAGCGTTCTGTAACCCCTCTCTCGACAGTCTACTAGAGCCACCTGCTGAAGCCTGGTTGAAAGCCTTGTCGATATCGATGCGGGAGCAACCATGCCTAGAATAGCGGTGCCCTCGAGACTCGTCTTCGTGTAATACAGCCTGTTGTATACGCTTCTCGCTTGGCTTGAAGACTGGATTGTCCCACGTGTCTAGCACATTGTCAAGCCAAGGCGTTTTGCCAGGTACAGCTGTCGAGGCTCGTGTTGGTAACCGCACCGACTTATTCGTAGATGTCTGCGTGTTGAGGAACGTAGATGAGCTAGAATCGGTGGTTGGTCGCGGCCGGGCATCGGGCACTGCGCAACCTGTTCGAGCGTTCAATAGATATACTTTCTTGGTGTTTGGGTCTGTCCACAGAATAGTATCATCATTCTCCTTATTTTCGATACCCAGAGAGCCTGTAGGTGTGGAAGCTTCGACGGGAAGATGTTGCCCACTCAAAGCACCTTGCGATAACGGCGGTATATCAAACTTCGCAAATGCTTCGGTGTTTGTGCCAGCCGAAGTGCTCATACTAACTTCCTTACCGAGATCTGATTCGGATTTAGATTTCGACACGGTCGAAACGCTGCTGAAGAACTCAGGCTTTCCACTTTTGATGCGTGACCACTCTGCGAAGACTCCAGGACGTGACCTCTCGCACAATTCGCGCGACGCCGTCTTGTCCGGACGCTTCCTCTTCAGTGACTGCGACGAAGTAGAAACTGGCTTTGGTGTTGCAGAGCGGCTTCGGATAGATTGCCCACTTGAAGCCATGGACGTAGTCCGACCCTCCGTGGATGACGAGTTACTTACAGCAAGACTCTCCGCAGCACTAGAAGCCGTATCAAGCCGTCCACGCTTCTTGCGAGGTTGCCGTGGTCTAAAATGATGGACTGATAACCATTGAGTTATCATCGCGTCCAACACCTCCATCACGCTTTGGAGGCTCGCCTCATCCCCAAGGAACTGCTCTTCGGGGACGCTTCTTCTACGGGCGTCCTTCAACGAGATGCGAAGGTAGAACATGGGATATCTGTCGACGTCTTTGCGTGCTTTGAGCTGTCGGTTGGTGTACCCGTCATGCTTGAAGCGCTTGTCTGACTGTCGCCGCCGTTTCTCCAGCTCATCGATGTTGGTATCATCTTCGACAGTGCCAAAGCTAGATAGAGCGAAGAGGCGGTTGACAGCATCGAAGAGTTCGTTGTGGCCGTCGTTCGCACACAGCGGTCGTATACCGAGCGATATGAACTGAACATGCTTGCTAGGTGCCGGGTCTAATGATATGGCGCCTTTGATGGAAATGGCAGATGTAGCAGCTGATGCTGGTACCCACGACGGCCACTGGTCAATGGCGATATAGTTGGCCTGGGTCAAAACGTTGAGGAGTGATGAGAGCTGCGCAGAGCGTGTCTTCAACGTCTCCCTCTCTTTAGTTTGTGCCGGTGCGCCTGAGCCGGATATGCTGAGGTTGACAACCACCCTGTTCTCGCTGTCGCGAATACGAATGGATACGGGACTCTGCCAGCTAAGCAAGAGACTCGTGACGTCCTTCTTCAGCCCATCCCACAGTCTGTCATGCTCCGCTCTTTGCTCCGCGATGATCGACCGCTGCTTGACGCGCACAGGCAGATTTCCGAACAAGTTCCGCACGGTGACACGGGTGCCATGCCTGCCTGATATCTCGTGCTGCGCCGAAGCCGGCAGTTGCCTCTCCACGGCTTTTGATTGGTGAAACGTTATCGCGTTGTGCGAGCGATGTTGATAGTGGTGCGAGGAGATGGCCAAGAGGGACATGGCAGCGAGGGAGGCGAGGAAGGTGCCATTGCGGCCAAGAAGAGGCTCGGTTGCATGGTACTTGGACGTGCCTGTACCTGTCAATTGTCTATCTACAGCGCCCTCGGTGCATGTACATACAGTAGAGCTTGCCCAGGCCTCCTTCCTCGCGAAACTCGAGGGGCGATATGCCGAGGCCGTCATCTTCGACCGAGCATCCGCCGCGCGCAAAGTCGATCGCAGCTTCAACCTTGGTCGCTTTCGCGTCCAGAGAATTCTTCAGCAGCTCCAGCACAACTCCGGTGAGGGAGACGATTGCCGTTGACGACTTGATCTGGGCGACGACATGCTCAGGCAGGGGCAGTATGGTTTGGGTCGAGACATTGGGGATAGCATGGTTGGCGCCAATTGGGGTGTTTCGGGTCATGACGTAGTGTTAGGTTTGGTGGGCGCCCCCTCGTTGTTTGATAACCCGCATGCGAGCATGTTTAGGGGTCGCTCCGAGGTCAGTGGGGAGGCAGGGCGGGTGGTTACATGTCGATCTACAGAACATACGCAATCACTGTGTCGTGAAAGGGAACTCGCAGCTTAGCGCGGCGGGCGGCAGGTGCGCTGGGGAAAAGGGTCAGGGTCCAACTGGAGGCATGAGCGACCAAGCAACTCCCTCGCCCTTTCCACATCAGCAGATTGCCCGGCCCCAACCGCGTAATCCACATAAGACGCACTGCTTCACTCGCCTCATCTGGCAGACAAACAGCGATACGGTACTCCGTCACACCATCGCGACAATCGCGTTCCGCCCGTCTGCGCTGGCTTTCCAACACACGCGCGCACACACTAAGTTACCAACCAACAGCCGCGTCCCCAGTCCTGCAGCCCTCCAGTAGTTTCGACGTGGAATCTTCCGAGACCGAACGTGGCATCCCGCGCCTAACTGCTAGCTCGACGACCTCCTTCACTCACCACCGCGGCACTCTATATTTGGCAGCCGGCATAATGGCCACGGCCGAAGCTGCATCGAGACCCCATGGTACGGTGAACTAGCCCAGCACAGCCATTGCCTCAGACAACTACCCAGATTATTATATTCCCCTCCACCACTTCCACTCTCGTTTGACCAAATTATGCTCAGCATGCTAACGCGATACAAAGACCGACACCCGCGCAAACGACCCTTTGCGGGTTGGATGAAGCGTCTTGCCAATCTCAAGCCCTCATCGTCCGACGCCCCAGGCAAGAAGGGCAACACCGTTAAGAAAGGCGCCGCGAAGAACAACCCCTATCCCGAGTCTGGCTACATCAACACCAATGTAGCCCCAGCCGACAACTCCTCCGTATCCACTCCCGCCACACAGCGATCGCATGACAGCTACACGTCCATCGAGGAGCCCGCAGCCGGACAGCGGCAAGGTGTAGAGAAGAGCAACAAGTCCACAGCACCTACCGTAGCCACAGTCCCTGAAACCGTGCACTCCACAAGATCAAAGGCAGAGACAGGCGGCAGCAACTTTGTCAACGGCGGCAGCACTTTCTCGTCGCCGAATGGCTCGGAACACTCCCTCACCACGACTCTGACGACAATACAATCAACCGCGCCCTCAAATGTCCTTAACCTTGGCCAGGCCCAGAACCAGAACAATGCGACAAGCTCAAGCGCCACGCCCGTCCACTTCTCGCATCAGTTCCCCGCGTCCCCGCCACCGTCAGCTATACCGCCGCATCTGGCGCCCCAGCAGCAGCCCAACTCATATCAGGGCGCTACCGCGAACAACATCCTGACCGACAACGCGTCTATCCTCACCCTCGCGTCATCGTCGAAGCGTCGCCGTCGCAACTCCGTAGATACCAATGCTTCGATGCGAGCACTAGCCCCCTCATCGCATTATGGAGGCAGTCGCGAGTCGCTGCCGCTCAGCGTGCTCTCAGCCAACCCAGACACCATATACTCGCCCTCCAACAGGCCAAGCAACGTTGGTGCTTTCGTAAATGCCGAGCGCGCGAGCGTCTACTCAGCGTCCGGTGTCACTGCGCCGGTACTACCCAGCGAGCGCAACAGCTACTATGCGACCAAACAAGCCGACGGACTCAGTGTGCGTAGTGGGCTTCTTGGCCATGGCCGCACTGATAGCATCAGCAGCATGCGCGCCACGCCTACTAGCCCACTCGCCAGCCCACGCGACCCCATGGGCCCCGCCAGAATCAGCCGAAAGAGCTCAGAGTGGAAAGACGCGAGGGAAGCAAGTGATGAGGATGAGGCGCCTACGAGCCCCATTGTTGAAGAGCGTGAGGATAAGCCGGCGCCGAATGCGCAGGTTTAGGTTCGATGGAAGAAGGCGCACCAGTGCTGAATTGTTACGATACGAAACCGAGATACCAACGTAGGCGTTGTGGAGTTGGGCTGTGTTACGATATTCGGAGTAATAGCATGGAAGGCAGGGGGTTTATACTAGTGACTTGGATGGGAGGCGTTAGTATGGGGTGGGGTGCATGTGAGAATGCGCGGGCATACGGTTTACTGCTTCTTCATCTTATACCCTAGTATCGAATGGAGCTTTTTTTTTTCTTGTGATGTTGAGTGTCTGTGTCTTCTATAGGGGTGTTCATTTTCTTGTTCTAAGGTTCTAGTTTACACATGAGCAGCTTTTGCAAGAGGCGTGGATATGGTACCGAAACTATACGCTGGCTTTCCATCTTCTGCAAGTTTTCCTTGAGCACTTGTTGGGATCGAGTTGCAAACAACTCAACTCAATCAGCTCCCTTCATATAGAAATCCTCTAGTTTGAACTCTTTAGATCCGATGTGGCGGTCTCGTAGCTCAGCAAACCTGACCATCACCTGAATAAAGAACTCTTTAGGTAGATCAAGGCGGCTCTGCGTTTCCACCTCGTTGTCGAGCGTCGTGGACCAATACACGCATTGCGTTTCAACCATGAGTTCTAAGATCAGGCTGTCTTTTGGTAGGTTCTCATAGGCGAAGATGATCTGTTTGTACATTACGCATTCACAATCAAAAATGTGGTCGATGAACAGATTATGAACGATGCGCTCGTAGTCTGCGATGAGGAATCGGTTTGCGAAGACGTATGCCTTGAGCAGCATCATGCCATACTCCACGTTGTAATCCGGACCTTCTGGGTCTACATCTGCATCGTAGATAACATCTCCGTGTTTTGGGAGTTGCTGCATGTACAACCAGTGCACGAAGGTCTTAAATACTCCAACTTCGACGTCATCCAATGTTAGTCCTTCTTCTGCCTCTTTCCAGCGCCCATTGTAGGCAGCACGGAAGTACTCTGACTCGCGGCATAGGGCATCTTTGTGAATCCTAAAGACTGTTTCGGCTGGCCCAACCTTGATGGCGACGACTTCTCCGACGGTGGCTTCGCTATCAATCGTCAGTAGATAGACTTCGATTTGTCTTGCTGCTCATCTATACGTACGCAATGCCAGGTACCATCTTTGGGGGCTGCTAGAATCACAGACAATACGATGTGGTGTGGTGGGATTGGAATGCAAGAGTAGTGAGGGGAGTGGGTTAGAAGGCAAGCTTAAATATGCATGCCAGAATCGTAATTGCAGTGAAAGTAAAACATGAAGACAATTTCGGAAGGCTCCTACTCGTGGTAAAAGAAGCGACATCATTCGGTCACGCCTTCGCTATCAAAAGTGAATCTAGTGCTGAAGCACGACGTACGAGTGTTCTGTCAAAACGCCACTTCACTTCGTTGGTGCAAATTCTCCAACTTCTGAGAATAAGGTAAGACTAAGTCGGTAAACAGTAGCAATGGACGTGGTGACAAGGTTTCCCCATCTCACGATTGCATCCTCCGACACGCACCAGACATAACATAATTTGGAGAAATAACTCCTGATGGCTTTTTCGATACGAAAAACTGCTTGTTCGGCAAACCGTGGCAGATAATACACGTAGAAATACACTCACGTACATTGTTGATATTCTTACTACCTAGTCTAACGAAAACTCCGCGTATATCTTCAGGGTAGGCGTTCTACATGTAGTAATCACAAGCTTTCAACTTGTCGTCTGTCATCTTCAACGTCTTCAACACACTCTGTCTCAGCATACAAGCGACAAGGAATTCGTGTGGTAGGTGTGGAAGCAGCTGCTTTTCCTCTTCATTATCGTCTTCCGCATTCCAGGCAAGACACTGTAGGTCCACCATCATAGAAAGGACCGGATTACCTTCCGGCAAGTTGCCGAAACTCCAGATGATGGTTTTGTATGCAGCGCTGAAGGCCGGCTCTCCCTTTCCTGGGAAGTGACCATCAACGAACACGTTGTGTGACAGACGATGGAAACCCGGTGCAAAAAACCGATCGCCGAAGATACAAGACTTTAGCAATAGTATGCCCCAGTGAGAATTCTCAGAGTCTTCGCTTGCTAGTTGAGCATCTGTTCCGGCGGCCTGTAGTAGGAGGGACATATCCTTTGGTAGCTCCTGTGTGTACAACCAGTGAACGAAAAGGTTGAAGACTTCGATCTCGACATCCTCTAGTGTTACGCCCTTGTCTGACTCTTGCCACAGTCCGTTGAATGCGACTTGGAAATACTCTGAGTGATGACAGATGAGATCTTTATAAATGCTGTACCGCTTTCTCGTGGGACCGATGAAGACCGTGACCATCTCGCCATTCGCCGCGGCGCTGCTAGTCTTGTTAGTCCATACACCTCATACAAAGAAAAAACCAGACAGATGCAGAAATAACAAGCTCTAGCTTACAGCCTACATTATCTTCTAATAAGAGAATTTGTAAAGATCAATAGCAATGCAGTCTTCTAGGTTTTCTGCCCATACCTAGGTATCTACACACACCCCACACGCTCTTTTGTAGTAGGAAGGAGTACTCTTGAAAGGAAAGTTTTTTTCTTCTCTTTGATACAGTACATATGTATACTGCTAACCACTCGTACTGGAACACAACAAGAAACATTAGGTACTAACATAGCTGTCGTGTTGACAAAAACGCTCTTGGAAGGAATATGAGAAATCAACATGTACTTACCCGAGTATGGGTGCGACCTGACGGATCGTGGGCTTTTCAGTCATGGAGTCGATCTTGGATGCTTGCGGTGATTGAGAAAGCCAGGAGAGATTATTTTCGAAGAAAAACATGGGTATATCTATGGATAGACAGTGGCAATTTTACCAGAAGGGAAAGCAGGATTGCAATAGAATTTTTTGGTTTTGTGAAACTGTTGGTCGTCCTTAAATATATCTAGAAGGTGCAGTACCATGGAATGAAGTGTAAAGCAACCACAGTACGGCATCCCATCAGCCAGCTAGTCACACGAACCACGCGAGAAACTGGAACTTCTCCTACACAATCCGAAGTAGTGGCCATCACATCCAATAACCTCAAAGGCCAAATGACACCCGTCCTGCCACACCACGACCTCTTATGCCCAATTAACTAGATGCGATTGCTCGCCTTCGTCTTACACTTCGACGTTTCCTCGCATACTAAACATAACTCTTATTAGGGTAAATGTCAAGGTTGTGTAAGCGCGGTATGTGCAAGTCAGTGGGTAACTCGATATTGGGCCGTTCCCTGTCGGCATATATGTTTAAAGTATATTGTCTTCTGGCTCATGATACTTGGCCCGAGAGAGGCACGACAAAGAAGGAAGGAAATAGAAGTAGAGTTCTCGAACCTGAGTTATCAAGGTGGCGGTTTGAGCGACATCTTTTCCACTACCGCTTTGCAAACTCCAGACTACAAAGCCTTCCTAAGAGCACTCTTGAATGGAATAATTTGCGCCTCATCCACATTCCACACGCCATCCTTGACATATTGATCCTGCTTTAGCCTCTCCACGACCTCCTCCCTCGTCTTGGCTCCAATGAGGCACGCGGAGCCTTTCATCTTGGGAGGGTTCGTATCGCCTTCTTTGATGGGTTCTTCGAGCATTGCTCCTGTGGGAACAACAGTATCAGCTTTGGACAACTGTCATGTCTATGAAGGCGGATGACAGGAAAAGATGGAAGAGAGTTTGTGAGAAGACGTACCACCCCACAACCACATATCCTCCCTATCGGCCTTGAGCCCCTCCAAATGTTTCGGCCGGCTCGCAATACGCTTCTGCAGCGCACCCGCATGGTCGGGTACAATGACGAGCCATTCTTGTAGTGGAGCACCGGTTGATGATGCCATTGTGCGTTGTTGAAGCTTCGATACGGATCTTAGTGGTGTTGCGAAGGAAGATGTGAGAGGTCGGAGGGAGCGGAGGGCGAGCATATATATCGTAGCTGGCAGGTAAGAGGAGGGCGTGTGGGGCTACGGTAGTTGGACCTTGGGGAGAGCTGTGACGAGATACGATGTCAGCTTCTTGGTTTGAGGAATTCCTTGACGAAGTATACGTACAGGAGCTCCACTTGGTTTATATCAATGAGCTTTGGTGAGACGAGTGGTGCAGTATGTACTTCCAAGGGCGCGGTGGTTGTAGGGCGCAATGTGGGGAAGATGTAGCTTTCGGTCGGAATTGAGCCGCGGCTTTCGGAACAAGTCGCGCTATAGTAACAACAGCATAGGGAAATTGCCTGAGGACATCACGCATGTATGGGAAGACTCATGTGTACGTACAAACATACGTATTCGCTACATGAACTACGGCTCAACAATAAACACATTCAAACTCATGAACTCATGCCTCCTTGGGTTGATCCAAATGATACCTACCCCTAAAATCCATCAACGCCTCGTTGCATTCCCGAAGACCCATTGGCAGAAAAGCACGCTCGGGCAAACCGTAATTATCACGTAACAGCGACGCCTTTAACATCGCCCACTGCAGACATGCGCATCGATGCGCCTAACCACTGCACATGACGCAGGACTCGGGGTTCTCTATTGAGCAAGCGAGGACAGCGTCGGCGTAGATATCACCATCGCGTGCCTCACTGTCGTCCTTCGAGTCCTCTTCCTGTGGGTCCTTCTTGGCCACCTCTTCATCGGGCTTGGAAACGGCATCGGCAGCAACCATCTTTGGGCTATCGCCCTCCTCCACGTCAGCCTTGAATGGCTTGCTTGCGAGGGCGTTCCGGTCCTCTGAGACTGGCAGTGGGGTAGCAATTGGTGTGGAAACACCATTCTCCTCAGCCTCCGTCTTGGTCTCGCCGTTGGTGGGCTTGATGGCGTACATCGGACGAGGTGCCGATGATGGGGTCTGGGAAGCAGTGACAGGCGAGTGTCGGATAGCCTCAGGCTGGAATCCGGGTTGCTTTCGTACCTTGGGCAGGGCTTTGGCAATGTTTGTGTCTGCAACCTTGAGGGCCTCTTGGTCGACAGTGAATTGAATGGGAGCCGAGGCAGCCATGGTACGGAGATAGTACATGCCAGTCTTGAGACCAGCCTTCCAGCCAGCAAAGTGCATAGAAGTGATCTTGCCCATAGTAGGCTCCTTCATGTGGATGTTTAGCGACTGAGACTGGTCAATGAAAGCACCACGGTCAGCGGCCATCTCAATGATCCTTCGCTGCGAGATCTCCCAGACGGTCTTGTAAAGGGTCTTTGTCTCCTCAGGGATGTTGGGAATCCTGGCAATCGAACCTCCATCGGCGATGATACGGTTCTTCATGTTCTCAGACCACAGACCCATGTCGACAAGGTCCTTGAGCAACCATGGGTTGACAACCTGGAACTCACCAGCGAGGACACGGCGGGAATAGATGTTGGAGGTGTATGGCTCGAAGCACTCGTTGTTGCCCAGAATCTGTGAAGTGGAGGCAGTTGGCATGGGTGCAATGAGCAGCGAGTTGCGTACACCGTGCTCAGCAATCTTCTCCTTCAGAGACGCCCAGTCCCAGAGGTCAGTAGGTGTGACATTCCACATATCGTACTGGAGGATACCCTGGGATACGGGAGATCCTTCGTAGGTCTTGTAAGGACCAAGTTCCTTTGCGATGTCGCATGAGGAAGTGAGAGCAGCATGGTAGATGGTCTCGAAGATTTGGATGTTGAGCTTCTTAGCTTCGTCTGACTCGAAAGGAAGGCGGAGTGCGAGGAAGGCATCGGCAAGACCTTGAACACCCATACCGATGGGTCGGTGGCGGAAGTTGCTGCGGCGTGCCTCTTCGACAGGGTAGTGGTTGACCTCGATGATCTTGTTCAAGTTGCGGGTGACGACCTGTGTGACTTCGTGGAGCTTCTTGAAGTCAAACACGCCGGCCTTGTAGTCGACAAAAGAAGGCAGGGCAAGAGAAGCCAAGTTGCAAACAGCGACCTCATCAGGAGCGGTGTACTCCACAATCTCAGTGCACAGGTTGGAGCTGCGGATGGTACCGAGGTTCTTCTGGTTGCTCTTGCGGTTGCAAGCGTCCTTGTAGAGCATAAAGGGGTTACCAGTCTCGGTCTGTGCCTCAAGGATGGCGTACCAAAGCTTTTGTGCGCGAACAGTCTCGCGACCCTTGTTCTGCTTCTCGTAGCTCTCGTACAGAGCTTCGAATTCTTCACCGTAGACATCGGCGAGGCCAGGGCACTCGTTCGGGCACATCAGTGTCCAGTTGCCGTTGTCTTGAACACGCTTCATGAAGAGGTCAGGAATCCACAGAGCGTAGAAGAGATCGCGAGCGCGGACCTCCTCCTTGCCGTGGTTCTTGCGCAGGTCAAGGAAGCCAAAGACGTCAGCGTGCCATGGCTCGAGGTAGATGGCGAAGGCACCTGGACGCTTGTTGCCACCCTGGTCGACATAGCGAGCAGTGTTGTTGTATACACGGAGCATGGGAATGAGACCATTAGATGTTCCGTTAGTGCCACCGATGTATGAGCCAGTAGCACGAATGCGGTGCACGTTGAGGCCAATACCGCCAGCGGTCTTGGAGATCAACGCACAGGTCTTGAGTGTGTCGTAAATGCCGTCGATGCTGTCCTCCTTCATGTCGATGAGGAAGCATGACGACATTTGTGGTGATGGTGTGCCCGCGTTGAACAACGTCGGCGAGGCGTGTGTGAAGTACTTTTGAGACATGTAGTCGTAGGTCTCGATGGCCTTCTCGATGTCATCGCCGTGAATGCCAACAGCAACACGCATGAGCATGTGTTGTGGGCGCTCGGCGACCTTGCCGTTTATGCGGAGGAGATATGAACGTTCGAGTGTCTTGAAACCAAAGAACTGGTAGTTGAAGTCACGGTCGTAGACGATAGCCGAGTTGAGCTCGTCTTGGTGTTCCATTATGACCTTGTAGATGTGATCAGAGATCATGGGTTGTCTCTTTCCGTTCTTGGGGTTGACATAGTTGTACAGATCTTCTACCACGAGAGAGAATTGCTTCTTTGTCTGCTTGTGAAGATTTGATACAGCGATACGCGCAGCGAGGATTGCGTAGTCGGGATGTGTGGTGGTCATGTAGGCTGCGGTCTCAGCGGCCTGTCCCTTTGTTAGACGTTTTCATGGTATGAGACGCGTTCAAGAGCGTACCAAGTCGTCTAGCTGGACGGTGTTAACACCCTGGTAGACACCAGAAATGACCTTCATTGTGATAGCAGCGGGGTCGACATGGTCCGGGTCAAGGCCATAACATAGCCTTGACACTCGTGCTGTGATCTTGTCGAACTGCACGCGTTCCTTGCGTCCATCTGAAGTCGACTATTAGCGGTGAAGATTTGCAGCGGTGAAGGACAGGCAGTACATACCACGCTTGAGAACGAACATGTTGAATTAGAAAAGTAGTAGAGGGGTATCTGGGAGTGGGTATCGTGAAGAATGGGTGTATGGGAGGAGTGTGCAGGAGTGAGGGGTGGATGGATGCAGGCACACACTTATAACGCGTTTCTTCTCTTTACGCGTCCCGTCGCGTTGCTTGGGCCACGGATCGGATTAGTGCTAAAGTGCTTGCTGCTTGTGTAAGCCGTGCAGGGATGTGGGGTCGGGGAAACGACGGCCGATGCCCGAACTTTTCGCGGGTCATGGTATCGCAGACGGCAAGACGCTGAGGTGCCGCAGCGACACCAGGACGCCCTCCACACCCTCCCCGGCCTATACAGAACCAATTGCCCGTCATGGCAGGCGGTCATATGAAATACCGCCACCTCAGTCGGTCGTCGTCGCATCGCCAGGCGCTCCTGCGAAACCTCGTCACATCGCTCTTCAAGCACGAAACGATTGCGACAACATGGCACAAGGCGAAGGAAGCCCAGCGGTTAGCCGAGAAGCTGATTACCCTGGGAAAGAAGAACACAGAGGCGACACGGCGGAGAGCGACGCAGATATTCTACGTACGACACGCCAAGAGCATCCACCAAGAGCGCATACTGACAATGTCAGGAACCAAATGAAATGGTACCCAAGCTATTCGGCCCCATAAGGAAGCGCTACGAAGCAAGACCCGGCGGCTACACTCGAGTTCTCCGCATTGAGCCCATGAAAGAAGACCAGGCCGAATCCGCCATTCTCGAACTCGTAGACGGACCAAAAGACATGCGCTTCGCCATGACCGCAAAAACACTAGCGAGGAGACCAACAAAATTAGGGTTGAGCCCGGGCATCACAATGCACGTCAAGAAGGTCACACAGTTTCGCAAGGATGGTGTGGAGGGCCTGCGGAAAATGGTTCAGTCACTGCGGAAACTACATGCCAAGGGTGTGGATGAGAGGATATTACCTGCGCCTAAGAAGGTATACCCGGAGACTCAGATGAAGAGGGAGATGCACTATCCCGAGGAGGTTGACAGTGGCAAGTACCCGAACAAGATTATGCGAGTCGGAAAGTCAATGAAAGTGACGTCGAGAGCGAAGCCAAGAGTGAAGCCGAGGGCAAAGGTAGCAGAGGAGAGCAAGAAGCAAGAACACCTGATCAAAGAGTAGGATTGTGCCAACAGATGAAGAAGTGGCTATCACGAGGCCTCTGTAGTAAATGTGTAAATGTACAACATATCCATATCCAACACTGCATCAACACGAATCAAGAGGTTGGCTCTTTACCGCACTACTCACGATACTCTGCATGTTTTGCCAGATTGGAGGGCCAATCGACAATTCCTCTCTCACCTGGCTCAAGTGATTGCTCATACATGCGCTCGAGTCATCAAGGTGACCAAGGTCTCGGAGTTTAGTGTGTGGTAACGAGTAGTGAAGCACTTTCTTATTTGGTCAAACACCAAGGTGAACACGGTAGTGACTCCAAAATAAGGCAGATTAGCAGTCTATAAGAGGGAACCTATTTGAGCTTGTCTACTTTCTCCCTCCATCCACTATCCACAACCTGTTCGGTAGCCAATATGTCGTCAAGCAACCAAGACCATTGTGAACAGAAAAGACCGCGTATATCGTAAGTCCTTGTGCATATGATTTTCACGCTTCACTAATCTCCTGCAGAGCCCACAACGCCACTTTTGCCAAGGTCGTCGTTGGTCCCGAAGCACTTACTTTCAATGTGCACCTCGATCTGCTTGTCCATCACTCGCCCTTCTTCCGCGCTGCCCTTACAGGATCCTTCAAAGAAGCCGACGAGAAGCTCGTTACCCTCCCCGATACTGCTAGCAACACTTTTGAGCTGTTTGTCCACTGGCTTTATTACCAACGACTTCCTGTCGAGACAGACTCATCCGAGCTATTTGCACTTTATGACGACGCTGAGGATGATGAAGTTCTGTATGAGAACCTCGTCTCTCTATACATCTTCTGTGACAAGTACGACGTACCCGGGCTGAAGAGGGAGTGCCTCGATACACTTTTCTATCACATTACCGATCATCACTGTCTAGCCCAATTCAATATTGTCCGGCGCACATTCAATAACTTGGAAACAGACCAAGATCCACTCTGTCGTTTCTTGGTCGAGTATTACTGCTACTGGAGTGATGAAACCCTCTGGGCATTGGAGGATGTTCAAGACCTACCTTGGACGTTTAAGGCAAAGGTCATGGCTCATTACGCTAACATGACGTCTGGTGGCCGCGATGCTTATTCACTTGAGTTGTGTAACTACCACGACCATGCAACAAGCAAGGAGAGGAAGAAGTGTGAAAAGAAGAGAGGAGACTGAGAAGGAAGAGAAAGACCACGACGATGACGAGAGTGACTAGACCAGGGAGTCATCTAATGGTTGATCTTCGTTAGGAAGCTTGCTGCATTCTTGGGGTCGATTCTCAAATGATATTGGTTAGTAATGTGTGCTTCAGCTCCAGAGGTTGGGTTTGCTTTGGTTTTAACGACAGGCATGGATGATGAAATAGCTTGGTTGGACTGCACTTGAGTTTGGTGGCTTCGATATTCTATTATCAACTTTAATCGCAAATCTGTCTTTTCTTTCTTCGATTCCAAGTGCTACCGACACGCACCAGCTGATAACAATGTTGGTAGGCTGATCGCCGTCTTTCCCACCATCACGAAGAGTAATTCTCGAGCTACTATTCATATCATCACACACTCGTAAATACTCCATTCTGATAGTCGACAACAATTGCCTTCTCCAGTGCCGTACTTGCCGCCTCCTTGAAAGCTTTGTGAACAGGGTCATCATCAACGTAGTAGTCACGATCTTCGATGGAATGAAACTGCAGGACGAAAGCGTGGGTGATGCCGTTCTGGTGGGCGATGTCAGATTATTGATGATTCCAACACTTTCATCGGCGTTGAATACCTGCAGATTTTCAGTCGAGATATCTTTCCCACCCGAAATCGATACAATGTATGGCCTCAGCGTAGTTGGATGTATGCATGCCTTCTTCAGTCCGAAGAATTGCGCAACCACCTAAAACGTGGCCTCAGCGTTGCTCATCAGCGTTAGTCTTGCGAGCATCTAACCTCTTTGACAGCGAATTTGCTTGTGCCGTCTTTGAATTGGAACAGCACGATATGCGTGGTGTACGGAATAACCGGGCCATGCGGTCCAAAGAAGTACTCTGCGAGCGAATGGCCAAGAGTGCGTGAGAAGAGTATGAGGCCTGTAGCTAAAAGCAGGCAGAATACGAGCCCGAAAGCTCTCTTTGGTATCATCATGCCGCTAGGAGATAGCTCCGTCGAGGGCGTGGAGTTGGCAGTTGGGTCAAAAGCAAAGATATGCGCTCACTGTGCTGCAAAACACCGAGCGAAAGCGCATTGGCAGCGGCGCGACCAGGATAGAAGGAACATGATCCCCCTCCCCTCCGCAAAGGCAAGGTGTACCTGTCGAGGCAACCGAGGGGGATGCGAGCGCTAAATCCTTGGGAGCTGTCGAGCGAATAGCCTGTAGCCGCAAATTGCTGGCAGACGGGGTAGTGGGTCCAAGCTCCCTACCTGCTCCACCTCCAAAGTGGCCCGCGGGTGACGTACCTGAATGAAAGGCATGCGAAGGAAGCACGTCGAAAGGCGAAAAGCCAGTCTTTGGCCGCGTTATGTCCATGCTAAAGTCAACTATGGCGTACAATCCAGACCCGCTCCAGGGCAAGTGGATAGACTTGCGTCAATTGGGACGGCTGAAGCCAGGTTCTGGCTCGATTGCCCACCATGAGTGGGGCCTTGGCATCTACGTCATACGAATGTCAGGTGCAGGCCAACGCTGCGGCTACGACTACAAAAGAGCTCGCATTCCTTGTCTCCTGCAAACCATCACCACAAGCAAATTCACTCACCCCATCACCTCATCCAAAAACACAAATCCTCATCACAATGGCTTCTCTCCACTGTAAGTATGCCCAAGTCAATGGACAAGCTGCTGCCCGCACTTGCACAAGCAATTGCGCAATGTTTGGCAGCATTGGCATCATAATACAACAGTCCAGCTAACAATTGACCTCAGACCTCCCTCCCGTCAAGCCCTCTGCCATCGCTCTCGGCACGGCCTTCAACCACGCTGTCTCCCTCGCCGTCCTTGGACCCGTCTTCGGTGACGCATACCGCCGCGCGCAGCAGGCTAACTCCAAGGAGGAGTACTTCCACACCAAGGAGGCCGCTACCGCTGCCGCATCGTGGGGTAGCTCTATCCTCGGCTCTGGTATCCAGGCCTACGGTGTCGGTGCTCTGATCAACGCTACCGGAACTCTTACCTACAAGGGTGCTGCTTACCTCGGTTCCCTCATCTTCTTCGCTTCCGCCGCTCCCTCAGTACGTCATCCCACATGTCAACCAAAGTCTTCGAATATACGCTAACATTGGCCCAATAGATCGTCTCCCAGGTCGTCACCGAGAAGCGCCCCATGGACACCATCGCCGTCGGCGCTGTTGCCCGCGTCCTCGAGACTGTCGGTCTCAGCTTGTTCCTCACCTACTGGGGAACCCGCACCAACCCCTTCGACTAAGCGTCTCGCCCCATAGTGGTAGAGGAGTTTAGGGATTCTCATCTTTGGCGGTTTAGATTGATTGCTTCAGTCAGCAAACGATGCAGATGATATAAGCTAGCAAAAAGCTTAAAAGGGCTTGCTTGCATTACGATGTAATATACCTCAATGAAGGAAATAATTCACGCTACTACCTTTCTATGATGGATTGTGATGTTGTCTTTCCAGCTTTCTACATTGTGCTTCCCAATATGTTGTCTCGCCATGGGTTTGGGCAGTTGTCCAGAAAACATCTGTTACTGCGCAACAACCTTTCCTTGAAGAAATTATTCTTGCACAATGTTAGTGACCTCGACTTTGAGTCAACAGCTTCTGGAATGATAGCAGTCGCTTGCTATCTGTGATTGCCATTGGTGTTGGGAAATCGAGATGGTTACTTTCTATACACTACAGTTTGCAAGATGTATGAACCTATCGACATAATTTTAAAGTTATTGAAAAGGACTATGCTCTCTTTGTTTTATGTATGACTGCTACGAAGCGACAGAAAAACAGCTTACTGGAGTCTTACTGCGGTGGAATAAGCTTTGATGCCAATTCGGTGTAGTAATGCTGCTAGAGAGCTTAGCATGATAATCTTGATGCAAGTATGATTTCTCAAACATTGCGCATCAGCTACATGCAGCTGTAGATCCGTAAAACCAGACTCGTGTCGGATGTCGAGCAATTGGGCTAAAGACAGTACTCAGGTCTCATGATACACGACATAGTCATCGAGTACAAAGGAGCGATTGGTTCTTTTTCGACTCAAAAAGGCAGGATTCATGGTCACGATTGGTACCCGATTACACGAAGAGTGCATAAAGCAAAGACTGTGCGTCATTGTTATTCTTTTGGAGTCTTGTAGTAATTGCGTCGTTCTGATGTCCGTCTGACTACATGAAGTTGCGACGCCAAAATCTTGATGTCATGGAGCTTAGATGTACCTCGAAGCCATAGGCAGTTTTCCGACAGCAATTTTGTAAGTTGTTCCTTCTCCTAATTTCAGGTATATATATTATGACATTACGCGCTGTAGACTCGGCACGGGGTATATGCCATTGGTAAAGTAACCTTTCGTGAGATGAGCTCCACATGCCTCCATGACATACATCACTCCATTCTTGCAGGCTCGTTCTCATACTGAAACGATAGTATGCATCCCCATTGCTTGTCCTTTGGCATTGCGCATCCGATATTGCAAGCCTCGCCCTATGGCTTTGTATCACCCTCTCCTCCCGGCCGCCTCAAGCAAACCAGACACAGTCGTAACTCTATACCCTCTCCTCTTCAGTTCTGGCAACACCTTTCTCAACATCGGCGCCGTCCACTCTCTCCGATCATGGCAAATGATAATGCTGCCCGGCCGAACCATACTAAGTATATGCCTCGCGTTTACACTAGGATAACCAATCTGAGGATCATGAGGATACACACTACCCAAGACCATCTGGTACTCCATCTCCTTGATCTGCGCCCTCATCCTCGTGCTGAAGAAACCAGACCCAGGTCTAAAGTAGCGCGGTGGATGCGGTTTCCCCACCGCGTCGTACGTGCCGTTGATATACCCTTCTACCTGAGTGACCTCTGCGTAAAGAGTCTCAGGGCTCAGAGAACGAGACGGCTCGTCGTGCATGGCGTGGTTCCCTAGTTCCATACCACTTTTCACAAGACGCTGGAGTGCATCTTCTCTTCCACGCACCTGCCCACCGATAACGAAAAATGTCGCATGTGCTTCATAGTCCTCTAGTACTTTTAGAATCTCGCGCGTGTATTCTGACGGCGCATCATCAATGGTCAATGCAATGACTTTCTCTCCTCCTTTTGCTCTGGGTATAGGCACGTGCCACAGTACGTCAGGCCACCTCCGTTGGAAATATCGGATCAAGACATTTGGCGGCTTGTAGATGACGTAAAAAGGCAAGATGAAAGTTACCACCACGAAGACGATGAAGAACATGGTGTACATGCGTCGCCGACGCGCGGCTCGGGTAGTGGGTAGGCGGAAGATGCGCAGAGGAAGGCGGGGCATGGTACGCCTGTGTGTGCTGCGAGTACAGGGACAGCAGATCTCATTGTCGTGAGCGAACGCCGAAATTAGATGTCATGATGTCGAAGGGTTGCGCAATATCGCGGAGTTGAAGATACGTGGGTGAGGCTTGTGGAGTGGTTGTCGTGGATCAAAGGGGTTAGGGGCATTCGCAGGGATGTACCATTCGGTCTAGCGTGGACACGTGCAAGCGTGGTTTTGGCGAAATTCGCAGCGCGCGAAGTTTCTTCCTTTCTGTACAACTCTTTAGCTACCTACGCAAACTGCTGTGCTCATCAGCGTTTCGCGTTCCACTGACGCGTATGCGTATGTCACTGCTCGGACTTCATGCGCATGTTCTATAGCCACGACTATGTGCTTACGACGTTTTCTAATGTTTGAAACGATCTACGCGCAACAACCTTGCCTATACATCAATCAGCATTTCTATCTTCTATAGATTCAGGAACCAATTTGTCACGCTTATTCGAACAGTATCAACTTCGATATAAGCCCTCTAAGAATGTTCCAAGAACGACACCGTGAGCGTTTAATTGACCTGGCTGCCTTTCATTTGTGGCTACTCGGGTCTCATTGCGCCCATACATCCCTTCCCAAGCTCTTTCGTCTTTGGATATGATATAGTGTAACAACGACGTTGCGTATTTGGAGGCCTTCGCATTGCTGAGATAGACCGGCACGGCTCCTGGTACATCCGGTACCCGAATACCATATGTGTCCGTGGTTGTGCACGTCCGATGACGCGATAACATGCTACCAGCGTATCCGCTACCGCTATAATGATAGGAGAGCCTTGGCTATGGCTGTATACGACCGTGGTGGAATTACAGGCACGGCCACTCCACCCATATTGTGTTCATCGTTCCTCGAAAGGATATCCTTGGACATGCAGTCACAGCTAACATCATCTCAGCATTCCATATTGATCCGATACAGCCGATCTCATTTCAGCACATTACCAATTCTGTGAATAGTCAACGGCCATGTCTCAACCCGTATATGGTGGTCTATATGCTATTCTCAATAAGTGAGGCATTGCTTTACCGTATTTGGACTTTCTCCGCGTTCCCAGTGATGTGACGTCTTTGCTCAATCTATAAACTTTTAGCCCCCGTCAATGCTGTTGTACCGTTGAGACACATCAATTTCCCAGACGCCCGACTTCGGCAGTTCGTCACAATTGCAGCCATGCAGCTTTGCGGCTGATGCCTTGTGAGCGGCACGAAGCGAGGCTGCCATCGTTGTCAAAAAAAAATAGTGTGGATGCTTGTAACGCGTTTCATCGGAAACAAGTTACCGCAGTGTCTGTGGGACTATCACATCGCGATCGAAGATTGCTACACATGTGGCGAGAATAGGCGCTCTTGTGGTGGTTGTGCCAGGGTGAACGTTCTGGCCATCTCAGGCTTGTAAGCCAGAAATCCGACAATTTGGGATCCATGAGAAGTACGAGTAGTGTATACAGCAATCTGTCGGCAAGCGCCGAGGCCGACGGCATGATGGTAACGAAGACGGAGTGTGGAGATACCAATCAGCTGCCCAGACAGCACATACTTTATCGATTAGGAGAATGCAAGGTTTCGAAAACAAGCCTCCGAGGCTAACATTTACATCGGTGTGAACGGCTTCAGGGTACGAATTGGGTAAGCATAGAGATTCAGAGTGTAGGAAAAAATCCCGAGTGTAAGGAAAGTTTCGACACGAAAAGGACCGATGTGGGTAGGGGTGAACTGGGTGTCTGGGTAAAGCTCGGGTGAGAACACCATCGCCACACGCGACAAAAGTCCGTAACTTGGGCGAAGATTTGCGGAATCACGATACCGCGGTCCAGGTAAGCCCAAGATACGAAGAATGGGCGGGTGCTTGCGTCTTTCCGACGCCGATAGATTGGCTTGGTACATTTACACCACGAATCCCAAGATACAGGTCCGGCAAAAGCAATGTGGTCGGTACAGTCGAAGATTAGGTTGTGTTCCCCTGCATTCCCTATATGTTGTGCATAACATTACCGCTGGTGTTTGCGCGGCTGGTACCTTGCTTCGCACAGGGTGTTTCCCTGTGTAAACGCGGCATGCCGACGATTGAAGTTCTTC